CCCCCCAGTTAACCCTAGGAACTTCCATTTTTTTTCACACAAACTATAATTTTTTTCTTTCTCTGATCCCCCCCTCCCTCCAGAATTTCCGAATCTCTTCATGGGTGGGGTATAGGTATTTTCTGGAACTACACAATGACGTTAAAAGAGCATGCATACTCCTTTTAACCAAGCAATAATTTTAGCTAATAGATTTACTCGGAGTGTGTGTGTCAACCTCTTTTGACTACCAGGTTGTGGAAGTAACTCTTAAAGAGGCTTTTGCAGCCATGGCACAATAATAGAGGTTTTGCACTATCACTTGACAGCAGCCATGTTAGATCTCAGGAACAATGCATTCGTTTTACATAAAAAAGAATTCATTTCCCAAGAGCAAAAGAATTTTATTGTTCTGACATCTATCTACAGGCATCCCAAGCTGCATTATGGGTGTGGGCATAGTTAATGGAGCAGAATTTTCTACCAAAATATATTGCCATGGTCACAGTTAGTCAGACACTTACGAAACCAATTGTTTTTGGACCCTGCACATCACACACTGACATTTCACTTTATTAGCTTTGAATACAAAAGATCAAGGAAGAGTAATAACCATTTCGAATTTGTATTATACCACTGACAGTGACTGTTTTCCTTAAGACCGGTTTAGACGGTATGATTTTCACCTACAACTATAGTATACAACACGCTTGCGTCTGTCGTAGGCGAGTTGTAGGCTTGCTTTACACGCTATGACTCGAGTTGAAGGATGGAGCGAGTGTGTACGATAGTTGTCGGCAAAAAGGCATACCGTCTAAACCAGCCTTTATAGAGACTCATTTACTCAGGGTTCAGGGTTAGCCTTGTATCAGCATCAGAATATTGATAACAAATACCAATTAATGTTATGCACAACTTTGACATGCAAATTTTTCAAAATTCCACGGACCTTCACTGAAACGCAATGAATATTCTACCCAAAATCAACTTAGGCTATCTCTGAGTAACAAAGAACTTAAAACTGGAGTATTAAGGGTAGAGTGTTAGGTTCATTACGCACCCCTCTCCCATTAAATTCGGTAGTTCAATCGATATGTGCGCATATATAAATGTAGTGTCTAATAGGTAACAGCCCTACAGGGATACCCTTAAGTGCATATTGTTGAAAAAATTTTAGTCCAGAATTATTTCTTTAGGCAATATACTCTTTGCATTAATGGACTAATCATATATGGAATCATATATAGATGCATCCGCAAAGCCTCAAATTGATGCTTTACAACTTGAGCATGGTTTATTAAACATCTTCCATTTTCGTGCACACTACAGAGGATTAGGCTTCAAGTCAAACTAAGAAAACGGTTCGCACCTTAAATATATCTGGAATGTTAAACATTGTGTTCTGATCAATCACATGCGAGAATGAATTGATTTCTAATTAACAGTCACTTGTGATTGGTCAGAACGCGATGTTCAATATTCCAGACATATTTTAGGTGTGAACGGTTTTCTTAGTTTAACTGTAATACTACTTATCTGAATATGATTTAGTACATTTATGCAAGGGTTCTTAATACAATAAATTGAGTCAAATATATTTTTTAAAAATTGATGGGACCTTTTTTATATTGGTCATTTAAAATTACCAGGATATTTTGGAGATCCATGCTTTAACAATGATCCCTACCCCCACCCCCACCATGTTTTTCCCTACAAACAAATTAGCCAATCAAAATGCTTGGTTATAGGCCTTACCTTGGGCATGAAGTTTTCCCATTTGAGACCAGGTGTCAATTCTCATTAGGATATGTAGTTCCAGAAATTATCCATACCCCCCTCCCCACGGAGGAATTTTTTTTCTCCCATGCAAACTCTCGTAATTTTGTATTTTCACTGACCCCACCCCTCTGAAATTTTAAATTCCCCTGTGGGGATCGAGGGTATGGATAATAAATTCTGGAACTTCACAATAAAATTCTTATGGTCTGTTATATGTTTCTTAATTATAAGTGACTTATTAATTAGTCCATACCAATTCTGTACTTTTCATGTCAAATGTTTTTAACAATTCCCTCATTGTCGTACTATGGATATTTAATTTATTTCATTTTTCCTTTACGGCAGTCGGTTATCTTAATACTTTAGTTTATTAAAATAATCTGAAACAATTCCATGTTTTGTGATGTAGTTACAATTAATTACAATTTTTAAAAAATGTTTACAACATTTAAAAATGTCTTGTGAGCTCTTATTCCCCCCCCCCCTCCCCTCCCCTTCCAAATATTTAGTACTCCACTTTTAATTATTATTAAAAAATAATATTGCAAGTTTCTGTTATGTTATCATGGTCCCAATAATTATAAAATAATAAATATTTTCTAGAATTTTTAAATTCTTTAAAAAAGTTGGAATTATTTTCTTACTTCATATCTGGGCAATAATATAACAGAAATCATTTTGTAACACACCTCTTTAGCTTGGGCGTGATGTTTTCCCATTTCTTTCCCATTACAAAACGTGTGTCATTCTCTTGAACTAGAATACTATTCTTTGTTTGAGTTGTATCAGCCATAATAATTAATACTGTCTTGCTTCTCATGCACAACCATTAAACAAAGAAATGATACTCCATGGAATGACACTGTGATTTAGGGACCGTTCATAATCTATTGGAGGGGGATGGGGGTCAGAGAAATTAGCAAATTTTCCTTTAATTTCTCTGTGCCCCTTGCCCCCTCCCCACCATGATGAAAACAATTTTTTAAGGACCCCCTTTATAACCTATATCCTAGGACTAGTTTGAAAAGTTTACGAGATTGCATTTGTAAAATTAGAGCAAAATTTAAAATGCTACTCTGACGAAAATCGCTCAAACTTGGATTCAGCTGAAACTTCCTAACACTACTCTTTAAAGGTCCAATAATCACTGTATGAAGTATTTTCTCGATATTCAGGACGAAAGTATGATATTTTTACGATTATTTTTTGGAGTCTGTGACGTCATTAACTCAACATCGAACATCGCTACATACATTTCTTTCATAAGTTTCAGCTGAATCCAAGTTTGAGAAATTTTCGTCAGAGTAGCACTTTAATGCAACGTAAAAACATTGTAACTTTCCAATATAGTGTTATATATTGTGTTTACTGTTATTTACTTTAATTATTTGTTGATTGTTATTCTTTGATTACTTACAACCCTCCAACTTCCCTTGATCATCAGTTATTTCAAGACCCCCTTTTTTAGGCTGATTAAAATTTCAACCCCAACCCCCCCCCCCCCCCCCCCCCTTTCTCCATTTTCTCATGATAACTATGATAACTACTTTAAATCAACAATTATAACCTTTAAATATTTAATGTTTATTCGGGTAAAATGTCAATGTATTTTATTATACACGATAGCGAATAAAAAAGTCTGTCTGTCTGTCTGTCTCACCCAGTAATTAAGTTGTATATAATAAATCGTATTGCATAATTAGCAAATAACAATAAAAAAATGATGAAAGTAAGTAAGTTAAGATAGAAAAAGGGATGGATGATTAGAAAAAAGAAAACTAATAGAAGAAAGAAAGCCGAAAGCCCCCGGGACCGAAAGAAAGCCAATAGGTAAAAGGGAAAAAGAACAAGACCGGCTTCCTTACCGTGAAGGTCTGGGTCTATACAGCCCCACAATGCACTTTATCACCGGTAACTTTCTGCCACGTTGATCTGTCGCCGCCATCTTGGATTTCACTCCAACAAACTCTACAAAAAATCGATAAATTTAAATCAACAAAAAACCTTTCCAACTTATTCCACCACTAGTACATATCTCAATCGTATGTACCATGACCTCCTATTGCCAATGTTTAGTTTATTTAGTTTTTCTAGCGCTAAGCTGTGTTTTAGTTAGATGCACTGAGTTAACTTTGGAACTTGAAGACAACGCTAGACAATGTTTTTATGAAGACGTAAAAAAGGGCACTAAAATTACTCTAGAATTCCAGGTAAGTTAATCTATAAATTTTATGATATCCTAGTTTTAGAAGAAATTAAAACCCTAGATATTTTCTTAAAGGCGCTTGGAATATTTGATGTGAAACTTCGACGTCCCTCAGAAAATTTTTTTCAAGCTTTGTATTTTTATTTTTGCTAGTTTTGCTACCTGTTATTAACGTTATAATTACAAATTACAAGACTGTAGATCATCTTATATTTAGTCTCTTTACGATTTTCTTTTTCCTGTAGTGCAGTTCCCAAGCTTTATTTTTCGTACACGTATCAATTGCTATTATGATTAATATTCATTTATTTCGATACCTTGGTTCAAAATTTAAGGAAATAATATATCATTCTCAGTTACAATTYTCAAATAATCTAATAGTTTTAGTTTTACACTAGTGCTTAAAATTAGGAGCAGAAAAAAATAATTTTGTCACTGACATAAAATGATCACTAGATAGTTTTTATGCTCTTATCATTTGCTCCCCTGAGGGTCGACCCCCGGGGTACCCACGGGAACCCAGGGGGAATGGTAGAGTTGTTTTTTTTGTTTTTTTCCCCGCGGAGGGGGGGGGGGGCATTGTTTAGCTTTGGGAATGGATTGGCTGGAACACAGGGACATACCCATGGGATTTGTTTGACGTTTGGTCAGCAGTTTTTCGCACTACACTATGGTTTTTTCCCGCGATTTTGTGTCATTAAATCCCTGAGCTAGTTGACAGGTAAAATAAAATCAGATTCGTCTTTTCTTCCTTTCTTCTCAATAATGCCATTATGCCAGCATGAAAATTCAACTCATTCTAATCAAACTATTCATGTTTTTTTCAGGTTATTACTGGTGGTAATTACGATGTAGATGTAACCTTATATGACCCTAAAGATAAAGCCCTTTATACTGTACAAAAGAAACAGTACGACAGCCATACAGTTAATGCCGATGAAGATGGAACTTATAAATTCTGCTTTAGCAATGAATTTTCAACATTTACGCACAAGACAGTGTATTTTGACTTCCAAGCTGGAGAAGATCAACCAATGACAAGGTCTATGGGAGAACATCACACGGCGTTGACGCAGATGGAGACAGCTTGTGTTACTATTCATGAGAATCTGAAGGTGATTATAACATAACAACTGTGATGACCTGTCTTAATTGTTTAATCCCAGAAAATAGAATAATCAGGTGCAGTTAGCCATTAGGTACAATTATTCTTGTTCCAATGTTGTCCATTTCAGACCGTGTGTCATTCCCTTGAGAATAATTTCTTTGTTTAACCATTGTACATGAAAAGACACATGAATATGGATGTGATTCAAATGATAAAATAGGTTATACTGTAAGGAATGACACATGGTCTGTAATGAGAGAACATTGCGCCACAATGAATAAAATCTATTGATAATCCGAGTTGATAGAATACACTGATTTGGAATATGGAGATCAATTTAAACATCTATCATTCTACACTGACAAGCAGTTCACTAGCGTTGAGTTCACATTGAGAAAACATAAAATTGTTTTCACATGTATGAGAAGCTAGTCAGTGAAGTCATTCAAATTGATTGCCATAATTCAATTAGATGTAATATAGTTCAGCCTTTTTAAAATTTGCCACTTTACTTTCCTGTCTCACAGATTTTGTAAACTTAGACCATATTTTTACCATAGGAATAGGCCTTTGGCAACAAACAATCGTGCTGATATGTGACTTTGATAACAAATCAATTCAGCTCATGGTCCCTTGGTGAAGGCTCTGCTGGATGACAAACAAACTTTAAACTTCTTTGTATCTTGCAATTGAAAGTATCTGATAATGGGAAAAAAAGGTTTTTTTAAAAAGTTTTTTGATCCAACATTAGTAATCCAGCAAAAAACTTTAAATTAAAAAGTCCACACTTTTTAGCCATCCAGTAACAGTGATGTTTCAATATGTTGCAGAAGGCCTATTAGATGTTCCATCCCCCCTCAAAATGTTATAAATTATTCGCTTGAATATTACTCAATGTACCTTAAATTTATTTTGTAGATTGCTATTGACTATCAGACACACCATCGTCTRCGTGAAACTCAAGGGCGTGACCTCTCGGAAAACCTCAATGAACGAGTACAATGGTGGTCTATTGGAGAATCAGTTCTTATTATCTGTGTTGGCATTCTGCAAGTCTTCTTACTAAGGAACTTCTTTGCTGAGAGAAGGTCCAACATATAAAGAAATGATTGTCAGTTGAACATTAATTAACAGGTGAAGCCATTCAAAATCTTCTGCGTCTGTTCTTTTAAGCACCATCAACTTTGAGCATTCTTGTTTTACCCTTGAATATAAAAGAAGATGGGGAAAAAATTATTATAAAATGAAGGTGTTTATAAGTAACATTGGTGTGACCTGCTGTTCTTTGAGAAATTGTTCAAAGACATCACAAAGTTAAGGAAGAACAGATTTTGTATTTCACTGTGAAAATGTACAGCACAGATCTTTTGTAACATGACTGTGGCAAGTTAAAGCTATATATAGAGGTATATTCTGAGATTTTTTAAGGCACTGAAAATTCCCCCACCCTCCCCTATCTCCATTTTTATTGGCAGTTTTGCTGTCTTTTGTGAGAGAATAGGAAGAGGTAATTAGTTGAGACTAGTGAGGAGTGACCTTCAGAATAAAAAAATATGATATACCCCTGCATAGTATCTTGATCAAACAAACATGTCTGGATTGGCCAAACAAATCTTGTCATTTACTGTGTGACTACACCAACCAAGGCCACCCAGACAAATTTTCATACTAATTAGCCAATCAGGATTGAGTATTTAAACAATAGAATCTGTACAAATTTTCACATTTTTCTCTTTAGGTTAAAGTAATATATCTTTATACAAGTGTGTGTGTGTGATCAGGAGCTAACAAGAACAGTTTAAAACCCAGAATTCACTAATTCATTTGTTATGCAGCATTAATAAATGTGATTTGTGAATTTGATTTAAAATTTGTTTGGGTGGCCTTGGTTGATGTAGTCACACTGTAATGCTATAATGGCAGTACTGTGTGATATACCATTTCACATGAATACCAAATTTAATCTACTAATAACAAAYTCTTCCAGGGTCCCATTACCTTTAAGATTAAATCCATTAAATTATAGGGTTCAAGCGTCATTTTTCCATATAAGTATAATTTTAGGCTTGGAAAGAGAGTTTTGCCCACTGTGATTGGTCGAGAGACCTGTGATTCTGAGATGACATTCACAGGTCGTAATCGAAATTGAAATCACCCAACTTAATTCAAGTTAAGAAAACGTTTTTATTTCTGTATTTCATCTTTTCTCTGGTATTCAAGTCTAAAAATTAGTTATACTTGTCATTGGTGTCCATAAGAATATTCACCAAGAATCACTTTGCCTTTTGGCAAATAATTTTTGAATCTTGACATTTTTAACAGTATAATGAAAAAAAAWTTAAAATAAAACTTAAGGTTTCATTTGATAGTGGGCCTCTGGAAAAGGCCTTGTTTGATCAACATTTGAATTCTCCCAAACAAATATATACACCTACTTGCAAAGACGTTGTCATAGGATATTAGAACATTAGTAATTTAGCAAGAAAGGAATAAATTAAAAGACAAAAGAAAAAGTTCAGCTTCAGTGATCTTCTTTTGTTTTTTAATATAATTCCTATCCCACTAAATCACTAATGTTCTATTTTCATATGTCAACGTTCTTGCAAGTAGGTGTATATATAAATTGTAGGATTAGATTGGGAGAACTTGGATTTCCATCACCTGGTCTTCCAGCATGRAGCTTAAAATGCAAGCTTAGTCTTTGATACACCAGATTATTTGAAACGTTATGTAGTGATGGATTATGTAAGTCCCAAATGATAATCTTGATGCTACAAATATTAGAATAGACTCTAGTAAAACAAAAGATATGTTTTAATGCATATAAAGAAGATTTTCATGCGATTACAGTAACCTACAGACGTACATCATTTCTAGATTCAGGGATCATGCTTTTTGAGTCTGGTTTCCATATAGATTTTTATTGGTCCTTCTCTTTCTTATTAATTCATATACTTTTTTAATCTTTTTTTTTTTTTTTT